GTGGACCAGGAGGTGCGGAGCGGAACGCAGGATCGACATTGCCATCCACATGCGCCCTCCCCCGCATCCGGTCTTCTTGACTATGTCTCCACACCGGGTCCAGATGAGGGAGGAGGAGAGAGTGCGGTTGATGCTGAACAAGTCCACATTCACTATAAACTAAGTCACGCGCAAGTCACCGTGTCTGCTCCACCTTGTTGTGGAGCAGACACGGGGGGCATCTTCGACAACGACGGTCGAGCTATCAATTGGACCCCTTGGCGGGCGCGTAGGTTTTGTCCTAAATGGCCGGGTTAGAGTTAAGAATATCGCCTGGTCACGCGTCTCTATAATAGACGGCAAGGAGACAAACTGGTCGAAAGGACTTGTCAACCATCGGATACGTGATGACACAACGAACGCGTTCTTCGAATAGTTAGCTGTCTGCACCGACGAAGTGCAGTGTCACCATCGACCATCAAACACATTGGATGTCTGTCTCGTTATTATATGAAAAGTACTCGTGCAGACTGACCTATGCGACCCTTCTAAAGAGGACATGGGAATAAGTAAAGTAAGTAGTAAGTAAGTAGTAAAGGTGGACTTGTACATCATTCCGGAAAGGGCGGAATATTCCCGTTTCCTAACCTCAGCAATAACCCTAATACAAAACTAAACCGTTACTCTAATCTTGACCCTCATCCTACACTGAACCCCAACTCTGCAGCTGACACTGGCCCCTACACTAGACTTAAACTTGATCTTGAATTATTTTATCGATAACTTCAAATCCAGACCTAAACCTAATCCTTAACTTAAACCTAACCTTAATCATAACCCTAATTCCACTGGAAGTTGGCTCAAAGCCGCCAAAAGTTCAGACGTTTCCTACCCATGTTCTGCTTAGGGGACCAAAAATGTCAGTCCTACCAAGACCTCTCATAGCAAATGTCTGAATAAAGCCTTTAACAGTTAGTCGGTAAATTTTCAAACATGTATCCATAAGGCCAGTTTATGACGATGCAACCAATATTTGAGAAAGAAGGATAAGTTATTCGCAAGTCAAGCATCCCCTATCGAAATTTCAGCCGCACAAATTTCTTATGGACGGACGAAAGATAGTGAAAATGTGTTTTTGTTCTTGACAAATAAAGAAAGGGCGAGGTGACACCGATTTCCCAAAGGGTGGAGGGTTACAGCTTACTGAAATTGGAATTTGATCAACTGGTAGGCTCTCTGCTTTGTCTGTCCTCACAAAACCACTGATCGAAATAACTATTGTTTTTGTACGCGCCAGAGAGTCAGACATCGAAGGGTCAATAGCAGGTTCCTTGGGCGAAGTGCCAGGTTTCGAGATATTGTTAAGGTTACTATTAATGTCAGGTCTAGGTGTATGGCTAAGGGTTGGGTAAGAGGTCGGTCATAGGGCTGGGATCAGAACACTGGAATGAATGCCGTTCATGCCATTCAAGGCTTGACCACCTGTTATGCAAGGGGGGACAACAATGTGACTGCCCAGCAGACGCGTGGCGTGAGCCTTTGTCCGATGCATGCAACGCTCAGTTACGGCAAACAGACTCACTGAATAGCGGCCTGCACGTCGCATGTCCTGCGTCAGAAAACATTAATAATATGCGCTTTGTAAATACCCTCATAAATTATTGTTTCACAACCCATTTAGTGATGTAATGAGCTGTTACATATGTGCCAAAGGTGACCGACTTCCCATCTTATAAAATGCCAATCAGTTGACTGTGATTAACGCCGGAATTAGAATTTCGAAGACGTACCTGCTGCCACGCCATTCAAATGACAGTAGCACACCACACTGCAGATTGATCAGACTCGATCAGACGGACGTTAAGCAACTGAGTCTCTTCACCGTCACTGGGTGCCAAGAGCTCGGGCGCAAGACAGCGATATCTCAACTTGTAAGTTTACAGAGTTACCACCTGCGTCTCCTGACAATATCAAAGTTTTCTGCGTCAAAAACGCTCAACGTCCCTAAATTCTGATTCACTAAACCGATTAGCTACTTTTGCCAGGACGTCAAGACAGATTTGTGCAGACCGAATACTTGAGTCCGAGATGGCCAGCACGAGCAAGGAATGGGCTGTGCTCGATGCCCGACCTCGGCGAGGCTTTACCTACACACTCAGGCCACACCAGAATTTCCCTCAATGATTCTACCTCGATCAACACCAGTTGTTCGTTGAAAGATGTTCAGTGCTCCTGAACCGTTGTAGGTCATGCATCTGGAGTGCTGAGGTGCTAGAGAATTCAATTAGTGACAGCCAACAACGCTAATATTAATATTATTCACCCTTAAAGCTCGGACCGAGTCTTTGCATTCCGGTGAAACAGTCAATCTCTATCTGTCCACTTGTAACCTCCTGGCGGTCAGTTGACTTTTCAGCAGAGGGGAGGAACAAGAAGGTCTACTGAGTGAAGGTATTCAGTAGTTGAAAGGACACGTTCTTGTACTGCCAAACCCACACACTGTGGCCTCATCAGATGGAAAGCCCGTCGCGGATCCTGCCTTAGGTCCCCCCACGACTGCCTAGTGGGCCCTTCCGACGAAAGTTGGTTGACTACCTGGCATTGCTGACAGGTGCACTGCGGTGTTGGGCACACCGAGTCTGCACTGCAGCACCGACGTTCTAAACACCCCTTTTTCAAAAATGACAGCAAACCAGCAGTCCAACAAACAGAAGCAACAGACAGATCGACATCACTGGAAAGGTCTTACGCATTCTCTTTGGCATCTTCTATATTTTCAGGGACACATGAGAACTGCAAAAACGTAAAGTAGGCTTGACTTGGTCCGAGGCGCACTAATAAGTTACTCGGGTTTTTGCTAATTCAGAAAAGAAGAAATAGTTTCCCAAATTTTCGCGCTTCAGTATCTATTGTCTGGCTTGTTAGGGGAGAAGAATATGTAAGAACGGTTGCTGAAAGAACAATTTTAGTATTGGAAAGAGCACCTTCCATGCATTCGCTGATAGAGTAGTTGACTGGATCATCAAATGGCCCCGAGTCATTGTCTCGGGTCCTCCGAATTCCCAGTAGAGGCCTGATTAGCTGATAATGACAGGGGCGCCAGAAATGGCTATTACAGTGCGGCTTGTTTTCATTCGCAATGCCTCTGCGCTCATATGGGTGAATCAATCAAATATTGCTTTCGCAGCTCGCCACGCGGAAGACTTGGCTCGGATGGGTGTCGTCGTTTTGCCTGATGCACCAGCTTCTTTCGCACCAACACTGTCTAACGCATACAAAGCTAAATCTACTCCTTTGGGTCACACATCCCCCTTCTCATCGACTCGGCCATTTTTACCTTTCCTTATTATTCCATTTCTACGCCACTAATTTCGATAAGGCTTAGCTTATTCGGGCATTTCGTGCAAGCTTTTCTACTGCGCCTGCACGAGCACCCTATTAGTGTACTCTCCCCTATAACGCGATCTAAGGTTTAGCGTGCTGAAGTCCCGAGGTGATTTACACCCACGCAAATATCTCGCGTCGAGTTCGGGGGTACTTGCCAAGCAGGATTACAGTGCAATTTGGCCTAATTAATGTAAACATAATCTTCATCGAGTGAACACAACCTGAGAAATTAAATGATCTCACGATCCCTAACCGCAGCCCCAGTCACACAGCCGGCCTATTTACCTGATTGTACTGGTGCTTGATTGCTACGTTGAGAAATAAGATCCGTGCATAGATCCTGGTTGCGCCTAAGATACATAGCCGGATTGTCAAGTCAGTCAGTCACGTGTCAAACTCTGGGGAATACCATGTTCCGCATAGGTAAATTACAAGAAATCGGCAAAAAATAACAAACAACAGTACCTGGCGTACAATATCGATTGACGGTTCCCCATCTTGCTCAGAGTTAACATGGAACTGGTCGGATATTATTGAATAAATATGGTAGTGTTGGAAACTTAAAGTAGTCGCCAAATTTCGTTCACAGCAAGTCTGTCTCATGCAGATTATGAATTGCTTAGAAATGCACGCAGCCATCCAGTGACCGATAATGTGGGATGCAAAACTGAGGCTGGGTTGTGCGTGAAACCTCGTGACAAAGAAACATGTCTTCGCAGTTGAGCATACCAATTAGCTTCATTTGTCATTTCAAAGGTCAAATTGTGACAGGATGAAAGTAGTATGGCAGATCAGCGATCAGCACATTGATATAATTGTGTCCGCGCAGGACAGAGACAGGAAATCACCGGTCGAATGCAAGCATTTCGAAGTGTAAATTGACAACGAGATAGACGACGCGCAAGATGGAGTCTGTCCAGAGTTCAGCGCAATTAACATAGTCCCTTTCAGAAAGTCGCTGACAGAAGAAAGCACAATTTGCAACAGGTGCACTAAAATGATCATTTCTGCCTCATTTGCCCTCACCAATCATTAGTGATACGCCAAACCCAAGCTGAACACTCGAAGTTTACATTCACACGGAAATCCTGCTTGGGCAGCCAGCTAACTGCATCAGAAATGCAACGTTGCAGGAGGCTGGGCAGGTAAATTAACCCAAATCTGACTAAAGTCAAGGGGCCCGGCGCGGCCTCGTAGTTCAGGTGACTAAGGCGTTGGCTGTACCGAGGCCATGCCCTTGCTGTCCTGCTTTTAATCCCACCGAGTCTGCCCAGTTTTTCACAGTTGGCTCAAATAAATTATTCAAATTTGCCAAAACAATAATTAAGCTAATTACTCACCATACCAGTTTGTATGGCACGACCTCGAAGGTTAAGTTGGCACGGAGCCAGGCCTCGAACTGGTAGAATGAGTTTGGGGTATCGCCCACTGATTTGATTACTTAAACTAGAAATGGGCATTTTAGCATCCCTGTTTTTTGTCCGTGAACACTTCTCCATCAATGGCTGCTAGTTGAAATGCGACTGACACTTCCATAGTCGCTTCCGTCGATGTCCAATGGGCGCGTCAGAGCAGGGTAGGTGCAGAGACGGTGACTTACGTGTGAATTAGCTTACAATGATGGTAGACTTGCAATGAATCTACCGCGCTCCCTCCTCCTCCTCCTCCTCACCTCCATGGGTTCAGTGTAAGGACAGTGTCAAAAAGACCGGAGGCGGGATCGAGTTCAGGTGGCTGGAGCGGCCTGAACTCGTGTCAAGGCGTGTCACCACAAAACCCTGATTCACACACACACACACACACACAAGGGGACAGGATTTCACTCAACAAGAAAGGGGACGGGCGGTTGGGATGCCATCTGACCGGGTGTGCCATAAATGTCAGATTAAGGAGGGATGGCAGCCTGCGTCTTCGTTCTGAGGGGTGGACTGAGTGATCCTGATAGTTGGCCGCCTTCCAAGCCACAGCTTTTAGAGCCCCATGATAGACTCAATCGAACCAGACTGTATATAGTGACGTATGTGCGCTGGCAATGTCGACATCACTTTCTTTCTCTCGCCCTCTGTCCCCACTCCTAGACACCAGTCCAATGTCCGAGCCGGTCTTCGCCGTGATACGCGGATTGGGCGCAGTGGCTGAATACCATGGAGGCCACATTCAGAAGGAGCTATTGCAGCCTGACTCTAAGCCGAACAGCCCGTCAATCCACACAAACACGCACACACACTGGGCTGACTAAGAGGTCCGAGTTATCCCGTCAGTTGACAACCTGCCAAGCCGTAACATTTAGCACACCTTGAGAGATTCAATCGCGTCAGGTTCCCTGTAGTGATAAATTTGGGCTGAAAGTCGACCTTTCCCCCACTTCCCTCTCCCGTGAACCAGACGATTGTCCAAGCCAGTCAAACAACTGATACTGAGATTAGACGTAGCGCAATGCGACCACGTAAATGCCAACAGCCTCAGGAGAGAATAGCAATGTACACTCCTGTCCCGCAAATAGGACAAAGTGCGTCCGGCATTCTCATATGACACTAGTGAACGGAGTTCGTATTTAGGTCTAAATGGTAAATAGATTTACGGGTAGTCTGTTGCGATAAATGAACAATGAGTCCAGAGTTGGGTTTACGAAATTAGTGGCTTATGTACACATCAAACTTGCAAAAGTTTCAAGGGATTTTGCATATCTGTGTTCAAAGTACGATCCAAATTCATTTAACTAAACCAGGTTTAGACTACACCGACGTACTCTGTACCTCCATAGATGCTCGGCTTAAATGATTAACCTTCGTGAACCACCTCAATGAAAATTAGCGTGGTGCAATTTTGTGATTTCGTGTGGTTGAGCAGTAGGCACTTTAGATCACACATCTCTGTCCGGTCACCGAACTATCGGTTTACGAGAACAGTTACGAACCAACTGCATCTACCCATGGCGCAATTGTGCGCCTTTGTTTAAACTTGTCCTGTAGGATATCTAGTGTAAGCAGTTTTCGCGAGTTTTAAAAAATTCCGTCATAATTACTTTCCAAACATTAATCTGTTCCCCATCCTGAAACATAAAGAGAGAGAGACTCTCAGGTAGGCTCCAGTTATTTACTCAAATTAAATTAGGTTGAGCCAGTCAAATTATAGCATTTCTGAGTTATCGATGGCTGCACTAACTGACGACAATATTTTAGGATAACGGTTCGACTAGCCGTGTTTGAGTTTAAATCCACTGGATTTCAGCACCCAGAAAACCTCTGTTCAATGTTTTCTAAAATGAGATTTCATGAGGGTGAGACTTTGGAGGTGAGCATGTGCACGATGTACTTTTACTTAATAGAATGTAATCATCATTCGATATAAGGACCCATTCGCATAGATAAAATAATTATTTCTTTCGAAATCCCATAGAGTCTTTGAAGAAGCCCACGTTTTTGCCAGACTGCATGTAATGAATCATTTGAACAAAACAACAGTTTTGACTCGAAAGACACATTTGACAAATATGCCAATACTGTCCGATGGCTTGACAAAAGGTCTGACCGAGCAAGGATTGCAGAAATGAAAGGGCCATTGTAAATATCAACCTTAGGTACTGAAATTAAGCATTATTTGTCTTCGAGTTTCTGCCCCTAGCGGATTATGCGTCTGACCCACGACACATCAACTTCGAAGTTAGCTGTCTATGAACCGCAAATTTTGGATTTCCTCCGATCTGCACTGTTTGATTTCAATAATGCCTGTAATCTCAGCTAAAGTCTCTCGAAGAAAATGACTCCTCATATGTGGGCGTATTTAAGTGGTGAAGATTGTAGCATCATCTGTTTGGCGGAACTAAGGCTCTTTTGGGCGCTTGTGGCTTGGACTGCTCAACCAGCAGTTTAAGAGGGTAAATCTTTTGAAATAACCCAAAAAATCAAATTTTTCGTGGCAGAATGGTCTTGGAAGCTATTTTTACCTTGAATGTTTGCGACGAATTACTATTGAGAAATATTGCCCAGAAAGTCATGGGGGCCTGAAGTAGCCTTTGCTGAACCCAGTTGTCATCGTCGGTCAGCTGCATTTATCGTCTAACTGGGCCGACCAGGAACTCAAATCCGGATTCGCTGATCATCGCACCCTCGACTTAAGCTTCATGGATGTGTTATTACTGATCCACATCCGCCTGACTGCGAGCTCCTAGGCTGCACCCCCAAGGCAAAATGAAATATACATATTCTTTACTCAAATGAGGATAGGGCAGTTAAAACCAATCTCAGATGTCTTTCAATTCAGTGCGGGTTTGTACATTACCTGGCATAAGTACAGGTTCGGCCGCCTCAACAGCATCAAACCATCATTACGAACTCCCCGTGATAAATTGCAAAGTTCAAATGCACAGTGGGGAGTTTAGATATCTAGGAACGTAGGTGCATTCGGCAGAAAAAAATCAGGTAAATTCACCTAGGGAACTGTATGCCATATTAACGCCCACTGGATCCTGTGGTTTGATGCCTGAAAACCACACTTCCACCATAATTGGCTCACTTACTAAAATTTCGACTTCACACTACTGGATTACATGATTAGAGGGGGAAACACTTACTAAACACACTGCCTGTTTTTATCGAAACTGTCGTCCGAAGCCTCAGTATTTCGCTTGTCTTCATTGCGTGCAAGTGTCCAACGCGTACGTGGCCATTAATGGCCTTAGCATATAAATTCCGACTCCAACTGTTTGCACGCTACCAAATTCCACTGGGATTCCACAAAACAGCAATTAATTTCTGATATTTTCTTACGTCGGACCTCAATCCAGGCTTGTGCTCCCCTACTCCTGGTACTAATCTCCAATCTGCCTGAGACCAGCATACTTAGGTACGCAACTTTCTCATTCTAATTGTTGCACCCCTTTAATGATTCGTAAATTCGCATGACTCGGTGCGATTGCTTAAGTTATCTCATTGCCGACACCCAACTCCAGCCTACACATTATTTGCCCGTTGATTTTTCCAAGTTCTTCACGTTGGCCAAGGCTTTCTGTAAATTCGGAGCGGACTCCATGTGTCCTGGCTCAGTCTGCAGTCCTCGTCAAATAAAACGTTCCAGATAGTCGTTAGTTGTATGCCCTGCGTTAAAATCACAAATGTCCTTCAACTTCCCGTGTGCTCTACTGTGTAGTGTGTTGAGGCTCTTTCAGAGTTTGGGTGCCACGTATCAAATACGAGACCATGACCGTTGTTTGTAGCTTTTTAGAACACAGCTGTTTGTTGAAAAAAACAAGAGGACGCAAGGCCAGAGTTAAATATTCTGGGAAATGAGTTTAGTCAATTAACCTGAGTGATGAAGGTGATGCTGATGCTGCTGCTTATGCGCATGATGATGATGGTGATGAAGAAGAAGAAGATGATGATGATAATGATGAAGAAGAAGAAGAAGAAGAAGAAGAAGATGATGATGATGATGATGATGATGATGATGATGATGATGATGATGATGATGATGATGATGATGAGGGGAAGGAGGAGAAGGAGTAGGAGGAGGAGGAGGAGGAGGAGGAGGAGGAGGAGGAGGAGGAGTAGGAGGAGGATGTAGCGCACATATATCATGGCGACTCACTTTCTGTAGCGCAGTTTCTCTTACGAACCTGGACACCGAAATTCCCGTAGATCGTTTTATGGAATGATCGGTTTTTCGCAAAAGACAACCAAGCAGACACTCTTATGATTGTTTAAAAGCACTTAAATGATGCATCACAGTTTACTCAAAACAACTAGAAACGCTTCATTCAAATGAACACAAGACATTAAATTTAAACAGATATCTACATCACCAGAACGTAAGTCATTCACTTCGTTCTCGAATGGCTGCGTTGAAGAGATACGGGGTGCTTGCCATAAATTTATTGAAGACAATACAACCATAATTTGGTTCAATTTTCTACGATGGTTGTAACTCACGCAAATTCATCCCGACACTAATTAGAATGCCAGATGTGAGCAGGCAACTCAGAATGAATAAGCCAAAATTTTGGCCGGTATTGCCAAACGGAGTTAGGAGGACATTTTCGCTTTTACGGCATGGAGCAGTGCAAACTTATTCAAGCTACCTAAACCGTCTTTCTTGGATGATTCTAAGTGTCTTTGCGTCCTCACATCGAATCCAAACTACTTCCAAATGAAGCCTGCGTCATTCACTCGGAGCAATGCAACGATAGTTGGTCATAATCATAACCATTTTATTTTCTGGCATACCGAGCATCCACAAGTCTCTGCCACTGCAGATAAGTGCTAGGTGCCACTAGTGAAGAAACAGCATCTTAGTTCTACAAGACAGTTGGATTGATTATAATTTCATTCGGGGTGCACCTTCGTCCAAAAACCACCAGATTTCATTTCATGCGTCATTGTGATCGTCAGGAACGACGGTGACCACCGTGTTTTCCGCGCAGTCTATCGGGCACAGAACGGTGACTTGCGCGTGAATTTGTTTATAGACATATCAGGCTTGCGTAGCATCTGTCGTACTCTCTCCTCCCTCACCTACCGGGGCCAGGTGATGGGCACATTCAGAACGATCGGAGGGTGGATCAGGCACAGCGGCTGACAAATTTAAGCAGTCCGTCCATAGTCTGTGCGCTATGGATCAGGTCGCCATAGAAACAAGTGGGCGTATTGGTCTCGTTCCATCCTGCAGTCGTATGGCGCGACAGGATACATGATCTTTACACTTCTATGTTTGCCTGTATGCACTCATTCTATATGTGAGACATACAATCGTACGGCCTTCGGCCTGCCACATGGAATTCTTCAGACAGCGGTGAATAGGTCATAGCCCTGACTCGAGGTTGAAACTGGCAGCCGCATTGGCGGAACGCGGTCTCCATAAACTTTATTTTAGCGGCTTGTGTGGTCTCTAAGGCAAATGACAGGCACGGAGGCCTGCCTCGTCTCGACCTCCTCATCATCAAGACTTCTTCCCTGAGCTCTCTACCGCAGGCTTAATTTCGATGAATTCGATCTCTGCAAACACGTTTCGGGGACAATTCTATTTTCATGCGGAATTCAACACACTACTGTGATATTAAGGATTCGATTTCAGGCGCGTCGACCCATGACTTGTATGGTGCTCTTGCAGAATGATCGGCGGCTATGGAGTGCATTTGGGGTTGGCTTCACTAGGGGGCGGGGTGCGCGACAAGCCTACATATGTCAGAGTATTTGGCTTCATTGCCACAAGGGCTTGTGAAATTGGCAAAAAGGTTTTGTAAGGCAGAACATGAGCATGACATAAGGCTACAGAAAACAAAGGCTGTGTGCCAAAACCTGCAAACAGTGGAGCTGCAGCCAAAGTGCGCGATGATTGTCGACATTCGCGGTAAGGCAAATTCTACAAAAACTGGAGTTCAGCTGATACAGCGTGTGTGCTAGACAAACTGAAGTTCTGAACAGTAATTCGGACAGAGCTTCGACGTATGGGCTCCCTAGAAACTGTTTATTAATGAAGCCTTGTTTCGACATCTGCAGTTCTCTTGAGAAGCAACCATACGGTGACGGAGGCTCAGTTTGTGCCCGGGTTGCAAGGAGATACAATATCTTAGAGAATTATGCATAGGGAGGGCAGATCGTAGTGGTCTTATTTTCAAGATAGTTATTTCACTAGCGTTTCTGTTGGGTGCATAACCAAATGCCGTATAACCTCCAAAATATGCAGGTCTAATCCACTGCGCGTGTCTCCTTCCATTCAATGCAGCACAGCGGTGGCGAAATTGTGAAACTTTATCGCTACGAACGACTGAGAGTGCGTCCGCGGGATGTCTATGTCTGTAGGAATGAGGGCTAGAACAAGTGCATCCAGTAAGTAGTTGTGAGATATCTGGCAAACCTAAGCAAGTCAGCGCCGTGATTGGGGATGCATCCAGGTGGCCTTCTTCCGCATCGGCAAATGGTGGTGACTGGCGTAGGCATGCGGGAAACGGACACCCTTGCCGTTGTAGCCGGTGATTCCTTGAGTACCCTGCACCTTCCTCCAGGCAGCAAAGTCTGTCCCGACACGAGCACTAAAGTCACCATGGGCAATCAATTTATCCTCCTCTGGTATATACGCCAGGAGGGCGCGGGGGCCTTGGCCTCGTCTGAGCTGGTCATTGATGAGGCGTAGGCGTCGATGATGGTGGCAAAGTTGGACACCCATAGAGGTAGGCATAGGCTCACCAGGTGATCGTTGATGCCCTGCAGCAGACAGGGCAGCCGCCCCACGGCGTCGATCCGGAGGGCAAAGGTGACGCCCGCGTCGCGTCGCTCTTTGGGGCGACCGCTCCAGAAGGTGTGGCCGGCATCCACACCATTCATTTTGCCTTGTTCGAAGAAAAGGGATCTCACTGACTGCAGCGATGTCCACCTTTTAGTGCGACAGTTCCCGAGTGAATAGAGCCGTCAGTCGTTCCGCCGGTCGCTATCGGATTTCGAAAGAAATAATTCTTTTATCTATGCGAATGGGTCCTTATATCGAATGATAATTACATTCTATTAAGTAAAAGTACATCGTGCACATGCTCATCTCTAAAGTCCCTCCCTCACGAAATCTCATTTTTGAAAACATTGAACAGAGACTTTCTGGGTGTTGAAATCCAGCGGATTTAAACTCGAACACGGTTAGTCAAACCGTTATCCTAAAATACTGTCGTCAGTCAGTGCAGGCATCGATAACTCAGTAATGCTATAATTTGACTGGCTCAACCTAATTTAATTTGAGTAAATAACTGGAGCCTAACTGAGAGTCTCTCTCTCTTTCAGGATGGGGGAGAGATTAATTTTTGGAAAGTAATTATGACGGAATTTTTAAAAATTCGTGAAAACTGCTTACACTAGATATCCTACAGGACAGGTTTGAACAAAGGCGCACAATTGCGCCATGGGTAGATGCAGTTGGTTTGTAATTGTTCTCGTAAACCGATAGTTCGGTGACCGGACAGAGATGTGTGATCTAAACTGCCTACTGCTCAAGCACACGAAATCACAAAAGTGCACCACGCTAATTTTCATTGAGGTGGTCCACGAAGGTTACTCATTTAAGCCGAGCATTTATGGAGGCACAGAGTACATCGGTGTAGTCTAAACCTGGTTTAGTTAAATGAATTTGGATCGTAGTTTAAACACAGATATGCAAAATCCCTTTAAAATATTGCAAGTTTGGTGCGTACATGAGCCACTAATTTCGTAAACCCAACTCTGGACTTATTGTTCATTTAGTGCCAAAGACTACCCGTGAATCTATTAACCAGTTAGACCTAAATACGGAACTCCGTTCACTAGTGTCATATGAGAATGCCGGACGCATTTTTGTCCTATTTGCGGGACAGGAGTGTACATTGCTATTCTGTCCTGAGACTGTTGGCATTTACGTGGTCGCATTGCGCTACGTCTAATCTCAGCATCAGTTGTTTGACTGGCTTGGACAATCGTCTGGTTCACGGGAGAGGGAATTAGGAGTGAGGTCGACTCTCAGACCAAATTTATTACTATAGGCAACCTGACGCGATTGAATCTCTCACGGTGTGCTGAATGTTATGGCTTGGCAGGTTATCAGCTGAGGGGATAACTCGGGCCTCTTAGTCAGCCCAGTGTGTGTGTGTGTGTTTGTGTGTACTGACAGGCTGTTTGGCTTAGAGTCAGGCTGCAATAGGTCCTTCTTAGTGTGACCTCCATGGTTTTCTCACGCATATGTGAACTGAGCCGCCCACCCCTTTTGTGTGGAATCCTGGTGTCTTGTGCGAGGGGCTAGGTCGTGCATATGACAGTCGTTTTTAGCACTGTCAGCCACTGCGCCCATCTGCGTATTACGGCGAAGACCGGCTCGGACATTGGACTGGTGTCTAGGAGTGGGGACAGAGGGCGAGAGAGAGAGAGAGAAAGTGATGTCCACATTGCCAGCGCACATTCGTCACTATATGCAGTCTGGCTCGATTGAGTCTACCATGGGGCGCTAAAAGCTGTGGCTTGGAAGGCGGCCAATTATCAGGATCACTCAGTCCACTCCTCAGAAGGAAGACGCAGGCTGCCATCCCTCCTTAATCTGACATTTATGGCACACCCGGTCAGATGGCATACCAACCGCCCGTCAGCTTTCTTGTTGTGTGAAATCCTGTCCCCTTGTGTGTGTGAATCAGGGTTTTGTGGTGGCACGCCTTGACACGAGTTCAGGCCGCTCCACCCACCTGAAGCCGATCCCGCCCCCGGTCTTTTTGACACTGTCCTTACACTGAACCCATGGAGGTGAGGAGGAGGAGGATGAGGGAGCGCGGTAGATTTATTGCAAGTGTACTATTATTGTAAGCTAATTCACACGTAAGTCACCGTGTCTGTGCCTACTGTGCTGTGGAGCACGCGGTGGACATCGACGGAAGCGACTATGGAAGTGTCGGTCTCATTGAGACTAGTAGCAATTGATGGGGAAGTGTTCGCTGACAAAAACAGGGACGTTAAAATGCCCATGTTTAGTTTAAGAAGTCAGATCAGTGGGCGATACCCCAAACTCATTCTACCAGTTCGAGGTCTCGCCCCGAGTCAACTGAACCTTCGAGGCCGTACCATACAAACTGGTATGGTGAGTAATTAGCTTAATTGGTGTTTTGGCAGATTTGAATAATTTATTTGACCCAACTGTGAACAACTGGGCAGCCTCGGTGGGATTCAAACGCAGGACAGCAAGGGCATGGCCTGGGTACAGCCAATGCCTTAATCACCTGGAATACGAGGTCCTGCCGGGAGCCTTGACTTTAGTCAAATTTTGGTTACTTTACCTGCCCAGCCTCCTGCAACGTTGCATTTCTGATGCAGTTAGCTGGCTGCCCAAGCAGGATTTCCGTGTGAATGTAAACTTTGAGTGTTCAGCCTGGGTTTGGCGTATCAATAATGCTGCAGGAAGGCAAATGAGGCAGAAATGATCATTCTAGTGCACCTGTTGCAAATTGTGCTGTGTTCTGTCAACGTCTTTCTGAAAGGGACTTTGTTAATTGCGCTGAACTGTGGACAGATTCCATCTTGCGTGTCGTCTATCTCGTGGTCAGTTTACACTTCGAAATGGCTGCGTGCTTTTCTAGACAATTCATAATCTGCTTGGAACAGATTTGCTGTGAAGTTAATTTGTCGATTACGTTAAGTGTCCAACACTACCTAATTTCTTCACTGATATCCGACTTGTTCGATGCCAGACCTGAGCAACAGGGAGAACCGTCAATCGATATTGTACGCCAGGTACTGCAGTTTGTTATTTTCTGTCGATTTCTTGTAATTTACCTATGCGGAACATGGTAGTCTCCAAAGTTTGACACGTGACTAACTAACTTGGCAGTCCGGCTATGTATCTTAGGCGTAACCAGGATCTGTGCACGTATGTTATTTCTCAACAGAGCAGTCAAGCATCAGTACAATCAGGTAAATAGGCCGGCTGTGTGACTGGGGCTGCGGTTAGGGATCGTGAGATCATTTAATTTCTCAGGTTGTGTTCACTCGATGAAGATTATGTTTACATTAATTAGGCCAAATTTCATTGTAATCCTGCTTGGCAAGTACCCCCGAACTCGACGCGAGATAGTTGCGTGGGTGTAAATCACCTCGGGACTTCAGCACGCTAAACCTTAGATCGCCGTAGAGAGGAGTGGACATTAATGAGTAGCTCGTGAAGGCGCAGTAGAAACGCTTGCACGAAATGCCCGAATAAGCTAAACCCTTTTCGAAATTATTAGAGGACAAATGGAAAAATAAGGGAAGGTAAAATGGTCGAGTCGATGAATAGGGAAATGTGTGACCGAAAGGAGTAGATTTCGCTTTGAATGCGTTAGACAGTGTTGGTGCGAAAGAACCTGGCGCATAAGGCAAGAAGACGACACCCATCCGAGCCAAGCCTTCCGCGTGGCGGGCTGCGAAAACAATATTTGATTGATTCACCCATATGAGCGCAGAGGCATTGCGAATGAAAACAATCCAGGTTGTAATAGCCATGTCTGATGCCCCTGCCATGATCAGTTATTGACACATCTACTGCGAATTCGGAGGACTCGAGACAATTACTCGGGGCCATTTGGTGATCCAGTCAGCTATTCCATCAGCGGATGCATGGAAAGTGCTCTTTCTAATGCTGAAATCTTTCGTTCAGCAATTGTTCTTACTTGTTCTTCTCCCCTAACAGGCCTGACGATAACTAATCGAGCGCGAAAATTTGCGAAACTATTTCTTCGTTCCTGAATTAGCGAAAACCCGTGTAACTTGTTGGTGCGTCTCGGCCCAAGTCAATCCTACTTTGTGTTTTGGCAGTCTTCATGTGTCCCTGAATATATAGAAAATGCCAAAGAGAATGCGTAAGACCTTTCCAGTGATGTCGATCTGTCTGTTGCCTCTGTCTGTTGGATTGCTGGTTTGCCGTCATTTTTTAGGAAGAAGTGATTAGAATGTCAATGCTGCAGTGCAGACTCGGTGTGACCTACACCACAATGCACCTGTCAGCAATGCCAGTTAGTCAATCAAATTTTGTCGGAAGGGGCCACTAGGCAGTCATGACAGGAGCAGCGACGTGTCTTCCATCGGATGAAGTCACAGACTGTGGGTTTGGCAGCACAAGAACGTGCCCTTTCTACTACTGAATACCTTCACTCAGTAGACCTTCTTGTTCTTCCCCTCTGCTAAAGAGACAACTGACCACCAAGAGGTTACAAGTGGACAGATAGAGATTGACTGTTTCACCGGAATGCAAAGATTCGGTTCGAGCTTTAATGATGAGTAAGGATAATTTCGGTGTTGTTGGCTGTCATTAGCTGAATTCTCTAGCACCTCAGCACTCTAGATGCATGACCTAAAACGGTTCAGGCACACTGAGCATCTTTCAACGAACAAATGGTGTTGATCAAGGTACAATTTTTGAGGGGAATCCTGGTGTGGCCTGAGTGGGTAGGTAAAGCCTCGCCGAGGTAGGTCATCGAGCACAGCCCATTCCTTGCTCGTGCTGGCCATCTCGGACTCAAGTATTCGGTCTGCACGAATTTGCATTGACGTCCTGGCAAAAGTGGCTAATTGGTTTGGTGAATCAGAACTTAAGGCCGTTGAGCGTTTTTGACGCAGAAAACTTTGATATTGTCAGGAGACACAGGTGGTAACTCTGTAAATTTACAAGTCGAGATATCACTGTCGTTGGCCCGAGCTCTTGGCACTCAATGATGGTGAAGAGACTCACTTGGCCTAACATCCGTCTGATCGAGTTTGATCAATCTGCAGGGTGGTGTCCTACTGTCATTTGAATGGCGTGGCAGCAGGTACGTCTTTGAAATTCTAATTCCGGCGTTCATTGCAGCCAAATG